AAACAGTGAAGCCGGGAAGAAAAAGCCACCAGCGAACGCCGCAGAACCTCCACCAATACCACAAGTACCTGCCAGCGCGGCCGCAGAGAACCTTTTCTCCAGCTCAGCCGCGCCCCCCGCGAAGCTGGACGCGTGGGCTTTGCCAGCGAAGAAGCAGCAAAAGAGTAGAAGTCGCACGGCTCTGTCTTCACCAGCCCCGTAGGCACCACCGCCACCGGCACCACGAGAGCTGCCTCCGCCCACACCCTTCGCGGCGCAACCCGTTGAGGCGGCGGGGGGAGAGACCGCTCTGCACCCGTCAGCGAGACCCGCCAGCGCAGCCGCGAGAAGCCCTCTCTTCAGCCCCCCCGCGCCCGGCGCGCGGGGCGCTGCCGAAGGGTCTGAGCACGGGTCTGGAACACCACGGGCCACCGCCGCCACCGGGAAGCCCGGGCGAACAAACCCCCCGTGTACCAACGCGGCGGGGCACGCAACTCCCCCCAGCAGAGAAGCGGCGGGGGGAGGGGGAGCAGCAACCTCGCTCCCCCTGCGCCTGCCCGCCGCCACCGGCCATGGCCCCGGCGGCCGCCGGCCGGCCGCGAGAACCCCAAAAAAGCCGAGCCCAAGCCCAGATCTGGGGCTGGGGCCAGGCCCGGGGTGGGCATCGCCCCCCCCCGCCGTGTCCGAAGTGCCAGCGAGAAAGCGGCGGGGGGGGCCGGCGGCCTCGCTCGCCCCGCGCATGCGCGGGACACGCTAGCCCCGCGCCCATCTCACTCCCTCCACGCTCAGCCGTGCTCACTTCGCGCGAACCTGCGCTCCAGCCGAAAAGCGGCGGGGGGGAGAGGGGGGGCGAGCCTCGCTCCCCCCGCACTTGCCGGCCGGCGCCGCGTCATGCGGACCCGCGCCCCCTCGCACACATCCAAAGCGCCAGCAAAAAAGCAGTGGGGGAGGGAAAGAAAGCAACAAGCCCCCCGCCGGGACCTTCCACGCCGGCCCGAGGAGATGCCTCAGAGTCGGTGCCGTGTCTGTTGCCTCCGGTGGCCCGAGCAAACCAAAGTCCTGCAATCCCTGCGGGACCCAAATTTGCTCACCTTGTACCTTTTGAGTCTTGTGTTCGCAGGAGCTGACAAACAGCCACGAGAAAATGGTAACTTCGAGTTCCCTGGACCTCCCTGAATTCATGAACTACTGTTCTGACAACCAGAGGTCATCCTAGATGAGTCTACATCCTACAGTAGCCAACAACAAACCAACTTGCTACCAAACATACAAACTTCAATCCAGTTAACAACAGCAACCTAAATTTACGATTACAAAGAGTCAGAAAATCCGATAAACAAAATCAAAGCATTGTAACTTGCATTGTTGGTCTGTAGAAAATTTATAGATTTTGCATGGTAGAATTAAGTAGTTTCACTAAATCTAGATATGAGTATTCTTAAAGTATATTTATCACTTTAGTGTTCTTTTGAGCTTTTCTATTGACAAGTTAGACTATCAGTTGAGCAGACTAACAATGTTTTGTATAGTGTGTGTACTAGTTCACTGAATTAGAAATATTAGACTCAACCAACAAGTCCTTGCAAAGAAAACAATTCTTAAGTACCAAAACATAAGCAAAAATTCTAAATCAACATCCATTTCAATTTCTAGTAAAAGAAACCTCTTGTGCTGTGTTTGTTCTCTATCCTGCAAGAGCTCGGCAGGATATAACAAACACTGTACAATTTTTAAATTTTTCCTAAGCAGAAAGGGTGAGTTATGGATGCTAGCTTTGGAGCAGGCTGCAGGCCCCATGGCCTCTCAGTCCTGCCTGAGAAGCTGGCCTGGGAAATTCACAGGAGGATTTCAAAACAATCCTCAGAAACAGAAAACAACTGCCAGGTGCTGTTCGTCTGTCCTCTTGTTTTCCTTGCAGGAGAAAGTCAGGGGGTGGTGAACCCCACTGACCAATGATGGTGATGTAGTGATTTACTAACCAATAAGAGTTTCCTTTCTGTACTTTCCACGAACTAATCTATATAACAAGCCTAGAGCAATAAACTAGAAGATTTCTCCTGTTGTGACTCCTTTGAGAGTCCATGTCGTTCTTTCCGGCCGTTCCTAATTAGAACGACAATGAAACATTTTAAGTCATGGGGTAAGGTCGTTAAGGCCTTGAAAAAAGCTAGACAAAAGCAAGAAACCTGGATGGCAGCAAAAGACTGTCTCTTAGTCACCCCAAAACTAGGAGTCAGTGCTACAACACAAACTTTAGAGCCTCCAGATGAGAGCAGCTCAGCTGAGCAGAAGGGGACACAGGAGGACGATATGCCCCCTAAAACCCCAAACCCTGAGCTGCCCTCAGAAGGGCAACAGAAAGCAAGAGATTTTTGGAAAAATTTAACAGAAGAAGCCAGAAATGTAGCAAAGACAGTAAGAGAAACATCCCCCCAAAGACTTAAAGATGGCGCTGAGAAAAAAGTTATAGAGCGGGAAAAATATGTCTTTAGCAAAGAACAAAAGCTGGCCTTGGAGGATGAGCACGGTTGGGGGGGTTGGGAGAGATAAGAAATGTGAAAAAGAAAGCGGGGGATGGGTACAGAGTGATCGGAATGCAAAGGCAGTGGAAGGAGAGGGGGGCAGAGGGCAGAGCAAAGCCTGTAGTGAGGGGCGGAGGGAAAGGTGGAGTGAGAGGCGGGATGAAAGGCGGAGTGGAGGGTGGAACGAAAGGCGTGGAGAACCAGGAGGGAGGGAACAGCCCGCCCACAGGGGTGGTAGGCGGGGCCAGAGCCCAACAAAAAGGCACGGGAAAGAGGAAGTAGCCAGCCAGTCAAGTTCTGACTCTGATCGAGATACGAGTGATGAAGGGTCAGAGCTCGAGTCCTCAAAAGAAGAAACAATAAAGATAAACAAGAACATCCCCCCCCACATTAAAAAAGAACTGAGAGAGGACACCCCTCTCACAGACTGGGGACAGATAAGAGCAGAATATGCTACCTGGGTTGCCCCAGATGCGTTAGTATTCCCAGTCAGGGTGTCTGAGGGGGGGCAAAGGGTTTATTCACCAATAAATCCTAAAGAAGTTAAAACAATTGTTAAAGCAATTTCAGAAAAAGGGCTTAATTCAGCCATGGTCACCTCCCTTATTGATGGTCTTTTTGGAGGTGACAACCTGCTCCCTTTTGATATAAAACACACTTGCAGAATGTTTTTTGATGGAGCAGGGATGATTGTTTTTAAACAAGAATGGGAAGACAACTGTGCCAGATACCTAGCCCAAATAAATGGAGCAGACCACCCATTACATGGTTCCAGTTTACCGCAGTTAATGGGCACAGACCCAGCCATGACTACACCTCAGGCACAAGCCCAGGGTATGCGCGCCCATGAAGTTATGACAACCACTCATGCGGCCAGAGAAGCTATTCGCTCGGCCTCTAGAGTTGTTGCTAAGCCATCACCATGGGCTACCATAAAGCAAAAAGAAAGTGAGAGCTTTACACAATTTGTAGATCGCCTCCAGGCAGCTGTTGACTCCTCTTCCCTGCCCCCAGAGGCAAAAGGCGCAGTCATGGCAGACTGCTTATGACAGCAATGCAATTCAACAACCAAGGAAATTCTCCGATCACTACCGGCAGGGGCAAATATCGCAGAGATGATTAAACATGTCGCGAGGGAGGAACAGGCAGTTCCGATTCAAACTGCAATCTGCACAGCACTTGCTAACGTGATGGCGTGTTTCAAATGCGGTCAGGCAGGTCATGTTGCTGCAAATTGTAAAAAGGGGGGGGCCCTGGCAGTGCCCACCTCACAGCAGAACCAGTTTAAAGGACCATGCTGGGTTTGTGGAAAAAAGGGGCACCTTGCCAGAGAATGCAGATCCAAGGCTCAGGCAAACGGGAGGGGGAGAGAACAGCAGGGCCGCATCCAGTTCTCTCCCACTTGGGATGCGAGGCGGCCCAGCTATGCCAATCCTGTAAGAACCGAGCTGCTCCCAAATCCATTACCCCCCCAAGAGGCAACCACTTTTGTAACCCAGCCAGTTGCTCAGCCAACCCTGCCTTATCTGCCTCAGGGACAGCAGGGATTACACTTGGGGGACAGGACCCCAGGGTGGCCCTGGCAGTAAGGTGTGACAACCCGCCAGTCGTATGGGGGATCTGTACTCTTTATGACACCTCAGGTGATCAAAGTATCCCCTCTGGGTCCATCAGTGTTCCTTTTCTAATTGATACTGGGGCAGATGTCACAGTCATTCCGGAGACAAATTGGTCTCCTCTCTGGAAACTAGAAGATGCCCCCATGGTGGGCGGGGTTGGAGGGCTGTCACGAGCTCGGAGAAGCGCACAGCTAATAGCCATTACACTCCACACAGAAAAAGGGCCAGAAAAAACTATTGCATTCTTCCCGTATGTCATGACAGGAATCCCAGCATTGCTGGGGAGAGACGCCCTAGCCTTACTAAAAGCCAGAGTGACAAATTTACCCTAAGGGTCGCTGCTGTGCACCCGCTGCCACCAATTAAGCTTTCTTGGAAATCATCTGACCCAGTGTGGATTGAGCAGTGGCCCCTGTCCAAGTCTCGATTAGATGCCCTTCTTTAGTTAGTTAACCGTGAATTACAACAAGGTCATATAGAGCCATCTACTAGCCCGTGGAATACTCCTGTTTTCGTAATCCCTAAGCGATCCAGAGAAGGGTTTCGCCTCCTCCACAATTTACATGAAGTCAATAAGAAAATTCAACCCATGGGACCTGTTCAAACATTGCTACCTATGAACTCTATGGTGCCGGAAGGCCAACCCTGTGCTGTTCTTGATATCAAAGACTGTTTCTTTTCTATACCCCTACATGAAGAAGACAGGGAACGGTTTGCTTTCTCGGTGGTGTTTCCAAACAGCCAGCGCCCCAACCTACGCTTTCAGTGGAAAGTGCTGCCTCAGGGGATGGTCAACTCACCTACAATTTGCCAAATCACAGTCGACTGAGCGCTGGCACCGATCCGTCATAGCAACTCGACTGTGACCATCATCCAGTACATGGACGACATACTGATTGCCGCACCCTCGGGAGGTCAGGTAGACCAGTTAGTGTCAACAATCACAGAGACTCTAAAAGCAAATGGCTTTGAAATCGCGAGTGCAAAAATAAAAAAGGGGCCATGTGTAACCTTTTTGGGGGTGGGGATCACAGACTCTTACATATCCCCTCCCCAGATAAAGATCCGTCGGGACATCAAAACGCTCCATGATGTGCAGCAGCTGGTGGGATCCCTGCAATGGCTCCGCAACATCGTCCTAATCCCACCTGAGAAGATGACCCCCCTGTATGATCTCCTGAGAGGGAAGAATCCATGGGAACACAAAGCCCTGACAGCAGAAGCAATGAACTCTCTTGACTTTATCGAACAGCAGGTATCTTTAAGTTCTCTCGCCAGGTGGAAGCCCCAGATACCACTCAATCTGTACGTGCACTTCACAAAGGGAGGGGGGGTAGGAGCACTGGATCAAGGCCCCCCAGGAAAAGCTCACCCAATACAGTGGATAGTCCTGGGAAAACATACAAGTGCATTTTCCCCAGGAGCTGAATACCTCAGCAGCCTCATTATGAAAGGCAGAAAACTTGCTCTGAAACATCTTGGCATTGAACCAGCCAGAATATTCCTGCCTTTCCGCAAGCAACTCTCTACACAGTCAACAGTGATGTCAGAATACCTGGCGACAGCCCTGGTTGGGTTCGGCGGAGAGATTCAATATTCTGCAAAGCCCCCTTGGACTCTGCTAGCTGTTGTCGACATGGACCTACCACAAAAGGTCATGGACCGGTCCCAGCCAGGACCAACAGTCTTCACAGACACATCCTTGACAACCTCCACTGCGGCTGCAGTGTGGCAATCAGAGGATGAGTGGCACTGCGTCAAAATGACTGATCATACACTCTCAGTCCAGCAACTGGAAGTAGCAGCTGTGATACTGGCATGCGGACTGTTCCAAACAGAGCATCTTAACATTGTAACTGATTCAATGTTTGTAGCCAAGCTTTGCCTGGCTATGTCAGGACCCGGCATATCAACATCTACAGCAGCTCTAATCCTAGAAGTGCTTTCCTCTCGAAAAGGTACCATATCAGTCATCCATGTTAACAGCCACAATCCAATCAAAGGGTTCTTCCAAGTCAGCAACGACAAAGCAGATGCTGCCGCAAAAGGATTGTGGACCCTACAAGAAGCTCGTCAGCTACATGAAACTCTGCACATCGGAGCCAAAGCACTAGCAAAGAGATGTGAAATCTCAGTTGCTGATGCAAAACATGTAGTAGCTTCCTGCCCCCACTGCCAAAAAGCACCACTGTGGTCCTGTGGAATCAACCCCAGAGGCCTTAAAGCCTCAGAGATATGGCAAACAGACTTTACATTGTGCCAGCTGTTAAAACCCTGAGCATGGCTTGCAGTAACAGTAGATACATACAGCGGAATGATTGTAGCCATGCAGCACCTGAAAACCAACTCCAAAGCAACCATCCAGCATTGGCTAACAGCCATGGCTTGGCTCGGCATCCCCAAGCAAATCAAAACGGACAATGGTGCAAATTTTATCTCAAAGCCGAGCCAGGAATTTGCCTCCAAATGGGGAATCACTCTAGTGCAAGGCATCCCATACAATAGCACAGGACAAGCCATCATTGAGCGAGCAAACCAAACCTTGAAAACCAAGCTAGAAGTGTTAGCAAAGTCAGAAAGCATTACCAGTTCCATTCCCCAAGCAGACCAGGCGCACTTGCTAGCAACTGTACTGTTAGCACTGAACCAATTCCCTAGGGGAGATGAAACAAACAGTCTCTCCCAAAAACACTGGGCCACTCGAGCTCTAGAAGAGGACCCGCAGGTCACAGTCAGAAATGAGTTAGGGGAGTGGGAGCAAGGTTGGAGATTAGTACTCTCAGGGCAAGGGTATGCTGCAGTGAAAAGAGATGGTAAAGTGGTGTCCACTTAAGTCAAAAAAAACAGACCTTAAAAATGAAACTGACAAGAACTCTGAAGTTTTGTTTGCAGGACCTGATCATTGGGCGCCCACGTGATGCATATGCTCCACTGCCAGAAGGAGGCGATGAACCACCAGACAACCTGAAGACGCTCAAAACTCCTAAGCCTGTGAAACCCAAGCGACAACAACTTTTGTGTGTAATCTTGTTTTTAGCACTTGTTAACAGTGAGCAGGTTGGTGCAGAATATAACCCCCATCAACCATTCAGGTGGATCTTACGCCGTGCCTCGAACAAAGTGATCAAAGAGGTAGTCTGGTATAGTAACTCATAACATCCACCCTCGCTTTGAGCTGTACCAGTCATACTGGTGCCCAGCCACCAACCCAGGCAAAGATTACTGCCACCAAGCAGGGTATTGGTTTTGTGGCTATTGGGGATGTGAAACAATAGTCCTGAGTAAGAGGTCAGCACCACCAAAAGCAGACAAGTTTCTGCAAGTAACCTGGGGTCCGGCAGGCTGTATGCATCCCAGTTTAAACTCTATAGGGCAAGTGTAGTGCTTTTAGGCAAGTGTATAGGGCAAGTGTATAGGGCTTTTATGATGACCAATCTAAAGTCTGTCATCAAATGATCATGCAGGTTCTGCAGCCAGCAGATGTGGGCTGGACCACCGGAAGAATGTGGTCGGTATTCTTGCACAAACCTGGAAAAAATCCCAGTGAAGTAGTACAAATTATCCGGCTCCCTGTTATAACATCTGAAGCAGTTGGCCCCAACCTTGTAGTACAAGCTGAGAACCCTCGATCTAATAGTCTATACCCGCTGCATAAGCAAGAAGCTTCTCCCCAAAGATCTGAAGCTGCTGCTTTTGATTCGCTCTATCGAATGTTAGATGCCACCTTTTTACCTCTAAATCAATCCAACCCTAATGCCACAGAATCCTGCTGGCTGTGTTATGACACACAGCCCCCTTACTATGAGGCTGTGGCCCTTAATAACCGGCCGCTGTGGGTTAATGCAGAAGCCCCAGTCTAGTGTCACAGTGAGTCACCCTCTCGCAGACTCACCATCAGCCACATGACTGGGCGAGGGTTTTGCATGGGCAAAGCCACTGTTGTTGACAAAAAAGTTTGTGCGACCACCGTGCAAGTGGACAGGTCCAAGAGGTGGGCAATCGCCCCCCTGTCTGGCATGTGGGTTTGCAACCGCAGTGGGCTAAGCCCTTGCATTTATACCCAAAGCTTTAACTCCTCTGTTGACTTTTGTGTATTAGCTGTTATCATCCCCAGGGTCCTATACCACTCCAGAGAAGAAGTGAACCAGTACCTTGAGCGAGCAGGCCGCCTTCAGAAAAGGGAGCTGCTGACAGGACTGTCAATAGCAATGCTGCTTGGCTTGGGAGCAACCGGAGCAGCCACGGGTGTCTCCGCTCTGGTAACCCAGAGTCAGAGTCTCTCTCAGCTACAGATGACTGTAGATGAAGATCTACAGAGAACTGAGAAATCCATATCCTTTCTAGAAAAATCAGTCTCCTCACTCTCTGAAGTTGTTTTGCAGAACAGGCGAGGTCTCGACCTTCTATTCATGCAGCAAGGAGGCCTCTGCATCGCCCTGAAAGAAGAGTGCTGCTTCTACACAGACCACACTGGAGTAGTGAGAGACACCATGGCAGAGCTACGAGACAGGCTGTCTCAAAGGAAGGCAGAGAGAGAAGCCCAGCAAAGCTGGTTCCAATCCTGGTTTGATCAGTCTCCGTGGCTGACCACCCTGGTGTCTACCCTGACTGGACCAGTTGTGATAATTTTACTCATGCTAATCTTTGGACCGTGTATTTTAAATAAGCTTGTGTCCTTTGTTAAGAGCCGACTAGAAAAAGTTAACATTTTGTTTATAGAAAGGCAACAGATGCTTTAAAAATATACTTAGTCATTGCATGTGCTTTATCTTTACCAATGAAAATTGTAGTATCTATTTTATAAGCTTTTAGCCTTTTAGTTAAGTATAATGTATCCTATATTTTACTCAATTTTATATTATCCATTTTTAAGACTAATATACCTTATATTTTAGCAAATTAGTTATTCATAAAGAGAGGGGAATATGTTGCAGTTTAGGGTATAGCGGTGCGGAAGAATTCGGGATGTAACGGAAAGCTAGTAACCCACCCCTCTCTTTAGGATAGTAAAACCTTCTGCATTTAGCCAATAGCACCTAACTGTGACGAAAGCAGAAGGGAGTAACCCTAGGCTATAAAATGTCAAATTCCCCTGCAATAAACGCCATATTCGCCATCCATCACATTGATGCTGTGGGTTATGGTCCGTGCGGCTGAGGATAGCCGCCGTGCTGGCTCTAGCCAGGGTGCCCGCCTTGCTTGAAAACCTACACCTCTCCCTGCTTTATTCCAACCCACAAACATTTTGCTTTATTTTCTCTCTCTTGCCCAGCTCAGGAGAGCAGCTGAGAGAGGCTTTGGTGGGCACCTGGCACTCAGCCAGGGTCACTCCACCACCGCTGCCTCAGTGCTCTGAATGATTTTTCATTTTCACATTACAGAACATCTGCTTCACAGAAGAAAATAAAAAAAATTAATTGCCAAGATTAATGTGTGCCTAGCAGTGGGAATTTTCTCAATAACATTTATTTTTGTTAACAAACAGGTTTTTATCTTTTCTAATGACTTTTTAAGTACTATCAGTGAGAACACTGCCACCATCCTGAAGCCATCCCAGCCCCCAACTGGCTGGTGATCTCACAAGATCTTATGGGTAGCTCATATATCCTTTAACAGAATGAGCTTCTGAACACAGTACACTGCAGGAAAGGAAGAGATCTCCACATATTTCACAACCATCACCAATCTTTCCCCCTCAACAGCAATATAATTTCCATTTCTTCATGATGCAGCAGCATCTTCATTTCATTCATAGAACAGTAATTCCCACCCACACTTTATTAATTGTCAAAATAGAAAAGGATTGTGTGATGCACCTTCAAAGATGTTGGAACAGAAGCAGAGGAGGCAGTGCCATGAACAGAAACTCAGGTCCAGTGTTATTAAACATGTGACCTCAAGAAAAAGGCTAGACTGGCTTTCAATGCTCTGCGGACTGTATTTTGATTCTGGAGCCATACACACACTTCATTTGCAAAGACATCTTTTAAATAGGTTAAATCCTGTAAATTTCACAGGTGCTGTGAAAACACAGCAGAGAAGGTGGCAGAAACACAGTTCCACATAGTCTAGTTTGCAAGAAAACAAAAAAATAAAAAAAATATATAGTTATATTAGTGTATGTGCCTCTCTTTCCCAAAAAAAACACCTAATCAGTATGTCTATAGTAACACACTGGTGTAGTAACAAAATAATTATTTTTAAAAGATCTGTGTTTTCAGAAGCTTTTGGTCATTGCTTCCTCAGTTATCAAACTTCACTATAGTAATCTGAATTCTCCTGGGAGCTATAAACACTTAACTGCAGCTGTAGTTTGCATTTCAGACTGAGCTGGCAAAGGACCTCTTCATCACATTCATTTTCTAATTAAGAAAAAATGATAAGCAGATGTAGGAGAGGCAGAAAAGGAAGACAAACATCAAACTCAAAAAATCCCCTTGAATTAGAAAACATATATTTTCACTTGGGACCTGAAGAACTGCATTATGAAAGAAAGCAACAACAAAAAATGGGTAATGGAAAATTAGCAAAGAAAGTAATTATGACAATAAATAAGTAGTGCACAATTGATTGACACAACAGTAAAAACTCACCAGAGAGATGCAATGTAAGAAAACTGTCTCCAAAGCAAAAAAACCCACAGCACTGTGTGATAGTGTGTGTAAAAACTTTCCCAAGAGATTATTAAACATGTAAAAATCTGCAAGCTGGTTTGCAAGATGCAGTTTTGCACATATTTAGCTTGTTTCAAATCAAGTGCAATACCTAACTGCAGACTTCAAAACAATAATACACTTCAGGATTTCTACTCCTCAGATGAAGACAATTATTGAGCATTAATCTCCATCTCTTCATTTGTAGTTACAATATGCTCAAGCCATAAAGGAGTGACAGTCAGAATCACTGTCTTCAACTGGAAATCAGAAATCAGTGAGGCAGAGCAAAAGCTCACCTGCCTCACCATCCTGTTCTGACATTGACCGAAAGAGGATGCCTAGGACACAAACTAGGTCTCTTTATTTCTGTAAGGAGGCATATTGTGTTTTTCACAGTTCTAGTGGTTCGTATTAAACCCAGCAGAACATGGTGTGGGTTTAAAAAAAAAAATGTCTTCTCAGGGCCATTTTTAGAGATGATTTCCCACAGAAAACTAAAACTAAGAAAACTAAGAAAAATCTGTCCAGGCTGGCAGTTGTGAGTCCTGGCATTTCCCATTGTCCAATAGCTTCTTCTTCCCCAGTGTCCTAGGTTGATGATGTTAAATTGTATCCCCATTCGTCCACCTAACCCAGACACAAGTTTTGTATTTTTAAAATTCCATCTGAGAGTAAAAGTGAGTGAAAAAGAAGCACCGAGTCTGTTATCAGAAACTGTACTTGCTCCCCCCGCATCGGGAGTTTTGACTACAGCACAAACAGACAACAAAACACAGATCGCCTTGGCTTTCAACTAGCCGGAGCAGAGAGGTCTTCCTGGACTGTTTTCTTTCCCTTTTTCTGAAACAAATCAAACCTGCTCTGGACTGGGGACTCGGGAGAGCACCGAGAGCTTGCACCCGTGAACTACCGGGAGCCCAACCTGGGCAGCGGCATTTTCCAGCGCCAGAGGGACTGATAACAGAGCGAACACCCACAGGGAAAGAGACCCTCTGAAGTTTGTCATCTCTTCTGAAAAACGAGAAGTTTTGTAATTTGATATCATTCATTTTTGTGCTGGGTAGTGCTGTGCCTGTGAACTAAACAGGTTTTTTCCACTTCTCTCAGAGAAATCTCTTCCCGAACCGGTTGTGGGGTGGGAGAAAAGGGCCACGTGGGTTTGCTTCCCAGGGGGGGC